TAGTAGTGTTATTCCTATTTATTAATCCAATTGATCAAATAAAAGTTTATAATTATAGATATGTTTATAATTTATAAACACAAGTTTAATTTTATTGCATATCATCTATTAGATGGTAGAATAAACTAGAATATACTAGAAAGTGTCTAAAGTTTATAAACTATAAACATGTTTATAAATTTTAAATAAAAAATTAATCTAAATGAATAACAACCGTTAAATGGTAGAATACCTCAGAATATCCAAATATATTCTAGTTATATCCACAAAAATTAACCTTGTATGCAGTTTGTCAACCAAAATACATTATAGAAAACCTATTGGCACTTGGATTTTCCAGCAGAGTTGGGGTCCCTTCTAAAATGGTGAAGAATATTAATCATTATCTCACACTTACAATGCCTTTGTTAAGAGTTATTTAAGAGTTCTCTCTTCATTTTGTTTTTTCAAGTAAGTCCTTATTGCATAGCAATGCAAAGCATCAGAAGCTTGCTGGAAACTATGATCTACTGAATTTCCAAGAAGGCATGAGATTTGCTTGATCCCAGATCCATGACAACACATAATCCATGATAATCATATGGTCAATTTCTTGGTGCTCTACAATATGGTGCTCAAATCACCCTTGCATGGATTTATAGCTGCTACTGCGTCACCATGGATATGGGATCAAACATTGTTGATCTCAATCATTTTGATTATGCAAACAAAGGAGCCAATGAATAGGATAAGGATGTAAGCCAATCTACTGATCTACCTCAAACTTCTATTGGCAGCTTCAAGCCAAGGACACACACCTTTCCATTCTACACTGAAATTCCAGTAATGGTGCTTCCAGACTGATATATGGTTTGATAATGTCTCTTGCTTATTACTTTCAACAAAGCTCCTTCCTTGGCAGAGACCCTCTTTGGTTCCACAAGAGATATCCGATAAAATAATTCTCACCATGGGCTTTCTTCCTCGATCTTTGCTGGTTGGGACTTTCGTCCTCAATCCTGCCTTTGCTGTTGGCTGGTTAAAATTGGAAAGAAATATAATTTATGCTATGGCCATAGATCATGAATGAAACAAGAATACTGTATTCTTCCTCAAAAATAAAAGCATTTTCACAGTCTACCCTAAAATATTATAACCCACCTCTTTGCCATGTCTAAAGTCCTTTTGGAGAGTCATAATCTAATTGAATCGGATATTCTTAAAATGACACCAATGCCAAAATAGCAACTTTAAATAAAGAGTATATATATATAGCAAAAGTAACCTTAGAGGGACCAAAAATGATAAGGAAATCAATTTACATGCATTGTATTGTGGTCTCATAGTACTCTAGAAGACCCTCAAAAACATGTATAAAAAAATAGAAATACGAACTCATTATTCTTCAGACTGAACTAAATGCTTGATATGATGTTAATATTAAAGATTAGTTCACTCCAAGTTGATTGCAGACAAGCTCTATTCATTGTTATTCATCTAAGTAACTTCATATTATAGAGAGATAGATTGACCTTCAAAAGTGGTCTTTGCATCTGGAACTTGCCCTAGGATGACCACTCATGGGAAATGGTAATAAAGATGATTTCATTAAACCACTAACATATATTATTAAAGTGTGTTATTATTGGAGGTGTCATCCATCTTTGTGTTATACTCCATCTCTTTCAAAAGCCATACTCTGATCTAAATTTTTTCTCTTTCAAAAGCCATACTCTTGTCTAAAATTTTTCTCCTGACCCCATCAAAGCCAACTGATCTTGATCCTTCTTGATCCTTACCAGAGCGTTATCCTGGATGAGAGCAAAAGTTCCTGTTGTATTCTTGGCCTACATTCTACTTCCAGCAGATATAAAGAGTAATCTACATTAAATTAATATTAATTACAATACTAATTATAATAAAAGACAGCACCAAAAATATTCATTCAACCAAAAAATAAAAAAGAAAATGCAAGATAAAAGAAAGGCTCACACATTGTACGTCTGTACTAAAACCATTGGAGAAATCGAGACTGGTGCAATTGGAGCAATGTAGTCTCCGCCATCTCTCGCAACCGCTGCTACTCCAGGAGGACCAGGCTCGACGTTTTTTTCGGGCGACGATGTTCCGGCGTCGATAACTCTCGCCGGGAGAAGATCATCGTCTGCGGTCACTGGAGCTCGGATCACCAGCGTCTCTGCTTCCATCGCTGCTGCTGCTGCCGCCTCATCTCCATCCTCTTCTTTTTCTTCGACTCGCTCAGCCTTGGAGTTTACGTTGATCATTGGCGATGAAACCTCGTCGTCCTCCAGGTCCGTAGCAGCGGCGTCCAGGAACTTCAGTCCACTGCTCGCAGCCTCCCCAGAGAGTCTCCCTATTTCCCTGCGGTGGCCTGCCCCCATGCTCGAGCTCCTCCTCAAGGCCTCCGACGAAGGCATGCTTCTTCTCAAAACTATGCTGCGCAGCCTCGCGTTCTGTGAGCGAGCGTCGTCCTTCAGATTTGCCTTCGTGGCGATGGCCTCCGGTTTCTCTTGCTGGACTTTTCTGGGATTGTCCAACGCCGGGGCGGGTTTGCGGCCTCTGCTGCCCTGAGAATTGCTGCTCTGAGTTGTGCTTGCTCTTTGAAAAGTTGGCAATAGTCCTTTGCTCGACGTGGCTTTCGCTGGTAATCTTGGAGTAGAAGCACCTGAATGGGGGGAGCTTGGAGCAACTTTCTTCTGTAATCTTTGCAAGCGAAGCTCTTCCAAACGCTTCCGTTCTTCCTCTTCCTGGTTTTAAAAAAGAACGAAAACGAAACAGTTCAGAATTTGAAAACGGAGGTGATAGAAAATTTACCTTTGCTCTCTTCAACTCCAGGAGACCAGCTTTGAATGCTCGTATTTTTTCCGCTCGTAGACGTGCCTCGGCCAACGGATCGTTCTTACTTGACCTCAAGGTTTTGGCTACCTCTGCTCTCCTTCTATCCAGACTCTCCTGCATAACTTTCAGCCTTGCTTGCTTCTCGGCTTTCTTTGACGTCCCTTCTTCTTTGAGCTTAGCGTCCCTACGCTCGCGGTACGTGTCATACAGCCTTCCCTTCGTATCCTTCAAGGACGGTGTTTCGCTCAAGACGCTCTTTTGATCGTCGCTAGGCTCTGGCTCTTGCAACAGCGGTCCGGCGTTTCCTGTCGTAGACACGTCCTCAATCGCACCAGTAGCCAAATCTTCTACAACACTGCTATCTACAGGTCCCTCTAGTTCCTGCTTTATCTTTCCTCCCATAGAAGACTGGTTCAAGTCTTTTCCCTTTTCCACTAGCTCCGACGGTTTTCTACCAAGCTTATCAGCAGCTAAACTCCACCTCCGCAAGACTGGTTTCTGTGTATCTGTCCGTCCAATATCAGCTACTCGACGCCTATCTTCGATCTCTTGTTTCTTGCTTTCGAACATAGTTATCTTTTCTTGAACACTCGTCCTTCGTCCCGAGGCTTCCTCGTGATCGAGAATGACCTGTACGCCCCTTTCTGATTCCGCTGCGGCTTCCTTACTGTCGCATTCCTTACTGTCGTTAATGAAGTCTTCAATCAGGTCGAAGTTGGGACCGTCTTCTACGTCACCACGAGAATGCGACTGCATTCCCTCCAACCATATCTCAGTTTCCCGCTTTTTCATGCAAAATCTCATATAGCTTTCACATGCATCACTGCGAAAAGGAAAAAGAGAAATCAAACTCTCTAACAAGGCTTGAAGAAACTCACCTTAAACGGCTTGCCCCGAACTGTTGGGCGAACCTCATCAAATCTGACGTATTTTTCGCACTGAATCCAGCAGCCTCTGCTCTCGCAAAAGCCATGGACTTCTCCTTCTGCAATATTGCCCGACGAGCTTCCAACGCTTTCAACAACTGTAAGCTGCAGATTTATAACATCAGAAAATGCTGCATTTTTATGAAGATGCCGCTTACTTCGGATTCTCTTGTTCACCAGCCGAAGAATTCTGCATCTTCAAAGTTAGCAGCTAGTCATATTCACGAAGAAGTACCTGCAAATTTTCAAGATGGCCTTGCGATGCTTCCCCATTGACAGATACTGGAGTTTCGGGTCCGCTCTAAACAGAAGGAAGATTCATTAGCCACAACAATGGGCTTCCGCGAAAAGTACCACAGAACCGTCATTGTGTCTGCTTAAAGTTTCTTCCAGTTGAGACAGTTCATTGTCCACGCTATCCACGCGCTCGAGCACTTCGGGAGTACTCACAAACCTTACAAATCTACAGGCAAATAGAATAAGAAGAGTTCAATCCATGATAGTCTGATAGATCGCAAATCGTACCTTTCCATAGTACCTTTAGTAAACCAAGACGCAGCATCGTCTCCAGATGGCTCTAGTTTGATCGAGCAGCCACCCTTGTCAATCTCCTCGTTCACCGCCTTGATGTGCGACGAGAAAGGCTGCAGCAATCCCGACGCTAGCTTTTCCGTCTGATCGCCAGAGGAAACCACAAGCTCGCATCTACACACCGCAGATAGACAGCGACAAGATTTCTTTAACCAAAATGCTCGATCGAATTCACACCTCGTGCGCGTGGGCGTGAGCAGGAAGTGAGCGCAATCCAAAGGCGCATCCGCCTCCATTCTCGGCTGGAGCAGCGCAAATGCACCGCCAGCGGTCGACGCGATCGGCTCCCAGATATCGATCGATCGCGCAAAACCCTACCCGATCAGCCGCGCGGCGCGCGGCAGCTAGATCCAATCGCCGATTTGCCAGAATCACCTTACGCTGCTAGCGGATCAGCTGCTCTCCATCCCACCAGAGAATCCCACCGCCTAGCGCATAACCCTCGCTCCATGACGCTACCCGTCCAGGTAGAAACTTTTATTCTGCCATAGCTTTCTTATTTACAAACTCGTCGCTTCCACCTGGCCGTCCGATCGATTCCATTTAGACATTCTATTTGGGGTATATATCAAGAATATCTTCCTTTCTTTATTAATTAACTGGGATGATTAGTTAACCAGTGCAGATTAATGGTAGAAAGTGGTATATCATCTGACAAAACTAAATATTATTAAAGACAAAATGATAAGATTGTAAAATTTCCTACGCTACATTTTTAGTTTGGAAACACAGGACTCAAGAGAGAGCTAGTGGCTTTACACATCCTCCTTGCCAACGTAAGGACGTGGAACATACTCCTCTTCTTCCTTGGGTACTTGGATCGTCACCATGTCCGGCAGCGGTGTCGACGGCCCGGTCTTGCCCTTTGGATCCCAGTCCAGCATGATCTTCACCTTGATCCCCAAAACCCCCTGCCAGCACAATCCAATGCTTAGAAACTGGATCCAAATCAAAACGATCGAGTTCTTGCACCTGGCGCAAAAGGACGTGGCGCACGGCCCTGTCGATGAACTCGTTCACGGGGCTGCCAGACGAGATCATGTATCCGTCCTTGAACTTCATCGACTTGGCGCGTTGGGCTCGGAGCTTGCCGCTCACAATCACCTGAAAGGAGCCAGGAATAAAGTTACAACCTGAAGAGCAAAATGCCGAGAGTTCGTCCATACCTCACAACCCTTGGCTCCAGACTCCATGATGAACCTGAGAACACCATAGCAGGCCCTGACGAAGTAGAGAAGTCTTAGCACCAAGGCCAAAAAAGAAAGAAAAATCAAACCTTCGGACGGCCAGTCCTCCCAGGAGCTTGTATCGCAAAGACTCGGCTTGAGCGATGGCGCAGAGGCCACGGTTGTTCACCTTCTCGGCATACAGCTCCACTGTGCTCTCGGGGAACGAGAACCTCTTCTGGACGACAGACGTGAGCTCTCGAATTCGGCGACCCTTTTCGCCTAGAATCAAAGCTTACTAAGTGAATCCGCCTAGAAACAGAGGAATTTACCCAAAACGCTCTGCGTTCGCGTCGCCCGGATGATGATCTCAGTGCGCATCGGTGTGACACGCACCTCCACGCCCGAGTATCCATCCTCTGCTAACTCCCGCGTGAGAAGCTCGTTGAGCTCGGCGTAGAACACGCCATCGGCGACGAACTGGAAGAATCAAATCAGAGCAGAAGGGGAGAGCGGCATTGCTGAACAAACCTTTCTCTTCTTGCTGATCTGAGTCGCCATGCCGCCAAAGCCCTAGCCGTCCTAATTAGGGCTCTTCTAGGGCTTTTGACAAATTATTATGCAGTATGCCATTTGATCACTCTGGCATCCTTCTGTGTTTAATTCTGTGGCCATTTTATTTCTTCATTAATTCAGTACATGATCTTGCAAAGCCCCCCATAAAGCACAAGACCAGTCGGTTAAGGTGTGCTGAAACAGTCCTAACCCTGGTGACTCTCAGCAAGCCATCTCCCACCGAGAGGAATGCGAAGACGCCATGGAGGACAAGTTAGACCACGCCAGCGGCAGAAAGGGCCACTCCCCGGCCATGTTCTTCGTGTTCGTCAGCATAAGTGCTGCCATCCTCTCGCTGGTTCTCATCGTGCTCGTTTCATAGAGAAGGAACAGAACTCACTCAAGCAAAGGCATTAGTGCTAATATTACCCAGGCTTCCTTGTAAGCTGGGTTTGTCCCTCCTAGCCTCTATTATCTTGTGCTCATGCTTGTTTTTCTTTATTCTAAAGTAATATGATGAGTGCTACACCTTGTTTATAATAGAATCAAATTCTCATCTGGACAGTTAGTATGTAGTGGCTGTTATATAATTTTCCAAATGGCAACCTGAAACAATGGTATGACATAACAACTCCTTAATACTTCCCCAGTATTTTCCTCACCGAAATCTTAATTTATTTTTCTTATTGGTATATAATATATTCAAGTATCTACATAATAATAATAATAATTTAATACAATTAATAACTATAATATACTTAGTATAATTTTAATTTAGTAAATATATAATAAGATTATATATATAAATAAATAATTTATATGTTTAACAGTTTTCGTCTTGTAATATTTTAAAAGTATGGAGTTCAGTAGATATAATCTCTACTGACACAATTAATGATCTATCTAGTAATCGAACTTGACCACCCATACGCCTTATTACACAATTCCGTTTTATAAATCTAAAAGCTTGTACTATATCAGTTTCTGCAGATGCTATATTCCTAGTTCTCCTTTCAAGTATGTTTATAGTAGTTCTTAAATTTCCATTAATATTTCTATATGTTCGTTGAAAGGGATTTCTTCGCCATTCACTTAATATATTTCTTATTGAAGAACAATAATCAGCATTAGAAATTCTTAACTGTCTACCATTTGTAAAACAAATTTCAGTAGCAGGCCTTGAATAACAAAGGCATTTGGAAACTAAAACTAATATAATAAAAAATTGTAAGTAGTGAAACATTTGATAATAATAATTTTTATTTCATATATTTATATAAAAATAGAAATAAAATATTAATAGTTTTGACTATATATGTTACACCATCTGTTGCTCTATAAGGGTGCTCCACCACACTCTCATGCTTCAACTTTACTTGACCTCCACATGGCAAAGTTTAAGATAGTCTCTATCCTTGCTCTCATCATTGCCACTATTCCTTACATGCCACTATTCCACACACACACACACATATAGTTTGTATTTATAAAATATATAGGGAATAGTGGAAAGGATGTGGGCAAGAATAGAAACGCGTGCCTTATCTTCTCTCATGTGACATGAGAAAACTACTTATTATCAGAAGGATGACTACAATTGGAAGAACATAATCAAATGTAAAAACACTACAATAATATTACAATTACTTAGAACACAGTATATTTGTAATAGAATAGAGTTTGCATCTATTTTTTAGCCAAGCTGCCAATTTTTTTATCTCTCTAGATAGATCTGCCAATGTTTACTATATAGTAAAAAGGGTTAGAGCTCTTCTAAGCTGCACTAAATTGCCATTGTAAATGTGTGTGAATCTTTCTGTCATTGCAATAACACTTGAGTTACCTAGAAATATGGATTAAGCATAAATAACTAGTTTATTTTCACTACAGTGCCTTCATCTTCATTGTATGGCATATTTCTCTTGAATCCAAAGCTCTTAAACCACTATTGTTGTGAGGGAATTTTGCACCCTTCCTACTAGCTAAAAGGTAAAAGCCAAGTCTTGCATGTTAAATTTGCCATGTTAAAAAGAAAATGGATAAAAATAATTAGCAAAGAGAGTAGAATGAGAACATAGTATAGAGTTTGAAAACACTTTGAAAAAAACCATAAAGGAAAAACCAAAAGTATAGTAGGGAGAGTGTGGGGGTTAGACTTTAATGGAGCCAGTTTGGCTAGGAAAGGCCAATGTAAGAAGGCTATGCCCATGTGCTAGGTGATATATCTATTAAAGAATTTAAAGCTAGAGTGAATACAGACAAACAAGTGGGATAGCTTGGTGAAGTGTTTAAAAGCCAACTCTAGCTCTCCCGGGAGATCGAATGGTCGATGTTTTTAGTCCAAATGTAAGTGGCACTACCTACTTGGATACATGGTATGACTTAATAGAACCTCGCTTTAGCCCCATGGCTAAAGCACCCAAAGGCGGAAGGTGGGGAGAGTACTTATGAGGCCTGGAATGTTGCCCCAAAATCCTAGACTGTGGAAAGGAAAAGGAGTAATCCTTTGGTGTAGTGATAGAATATGGTCATATGGTAAAGAAGTCTTAAAGGATAGTAGGACTTAGTGGTCGGGCTTATGGGCTTTAACCCAGTGGTAGTGTTGGTGAACACGACCATGGACAGAAAGGGACTTGGTAGGGATTGAAAAAGAGATATTAGGGAAGGCTATTCCCCATGTTTGCGAGCATCTTGAGGATGTTAAAGAGTGGATCTAGGATGATCACTCATAGACAGATAGCCCAATCTTTGAGAGATGGGACTATGATGTAAATGGGGTTGGATCATTGATGTGACAAAAGTAAATGGGCATGGCCTTAGTATAACGGGCTGGTATATTAATGGTACCTTTGGGTGTCGATCATAGGATTGGATATATGGAGCACTTGGACTAAGTGCAATGGTTGAGTGGCATGGATGCCATTTTCAAGACTAACAAGTTCCTAAATCTAGAATAGAATTTATGGAAGTTGTGAGTGACACTTCTTTAAGTGGTTGGATGTGTGGTTAATTGATTAAAGTAGAATAGAAAATTCAATCGCTTACAACCTATTAGTGAGATTTAGATAGACTAGAATTATTTACATGGTCATGCCCTTATAACAAAATTAGAAATATTGAAAGAGCAAGTTATATGACTAGTTGATAATAACCATCCTATAACTAAAGATTTCACCATATATATGAAGTGTGAAAGCCAATTTTCCTATAATGGTGTAAACGTCAAAATCAATACGATGAACAATATCAAAGCTAAAGACAAACATATCTTAAAGACATCAAATTATCAAATAATAAGTCTTAGATTAGAATACAAAAGTAGTCCAATTACATTATTATCTAATAAACTAGTTAATTATAGGAACCACCAAGATCACTAAGACATAGAATTAAATTATCTTAAGATAATTCAAAAGTAAATATATCACCAAGTGAAGTTAGTAATAAAGCTTTAACTACTAAATATCTAAAATAGCATAACAAATAACTTACAAAAGACACCTAAATTTATGTAAAGTATTATGGTCTAATAAGCAAAATGCCTGCAAATGTATTACTTAAAGGAATAAAATATCCCAATCTATTAGAAATAACTTTAGTAATAATCAACACCATCAAAATGAATGTTATAAGGGTTAACAAATATTTGTTCATATTAAATATCACACTAGCTAATCTAAATAGATTCTAGTCATACTAAGGAACCAAAGTTGCTAAATGAAGCATCAACAATATCTTATTAATGTCTTAAACCCAAAAGATGAACCATAAAAAACTTGTGGTAATATGGAAAGCCAAAAAAATAAAAAATAGCTAACTATCACTAAAGATTATCAATCACTTCATCAAAATAGATGCACAATCATTGTTACCAATAAGCCAAAATACCTTTCCCTAACAAATGAGTATGAAAATTTTAAAAACTAAAAACTTGAAAAAGTCTACAGTCAAATCCTATACACTACCTCGGGCCTATTCATGCACCAGCCCAGATGGGTGCACCCAATTATTGGTTGGCTATGTAGTCTCTTTGTAAATAACAATCATAAATTTTGCATTGACTAACTTCAATTCTCAAGAAGAAATTATGGTACAACTTATAATATCCTTTTTAACATATCCATAAACCAAAACTTTATAATGCAAAAACAAATGAAGAGCATATCTACATTACTTTAAAAGATAAACACAATAAAGCTATACTCAAGAAGTGATCACTAAACCATTATTCCATGAATCTATCTATCTATAGTAAGATACAACTCATTTTATAATGAATATAATATACATAAAAGGTACCTTATTATGAATTTTATTATTTTTTACTGATGTGTAAAATTGATATGAGTTTTTGTTAAAAAATAGAAGTGAAACTAATATGTGTTTTATATAATAGTTTAACTTCATAATTCATATACTAGTTTAATATATAGTTTATATAACAACTTTAATTCATAGTTTATTTAATTGTTAGACATATGGTTTATTTATTAGTTTAAATTTAGTATATTGTGAATTTGTAATCAAACATTTCAAGATTGATAGGAAAACCAACTATCACCATCTCATATCAGTTCCAACTGCTATCTTTCATGACTATATCCCTAGTTTGTCCCAATCCTAAATTCCACTTCTAGCAATTCTATGTTGATGTTCATGTATCTCAATGGCCCCTAAATGTTCTTCAAGCCTCTAAAGTTCAAAGCATAAGAGATTCACAAGGAAGTAAAAGCAACTTGAAGCTTTTACCTATACAAGGCCATCATTAAAGACTCCTTAACACAAATATCTAGTGAAGATAGAGTGAGAACAATCAAGTAGCCTCTTTGAGTCGTAAAAGAGTTTAGAGAAATTAGGTTTTAAACAAAAAATAGGGGGATTTTACCAATGATAGTTATAGCATGCAAAGGTTGTAGTGTTACTAAGAGCACCACAAAAAAAAAAAAAAAACCAATTCTTAAATATAGAGACATTCTAGAAAGAAAAAACATTTGTATACTAATGTAAGCAACTAAAGAAAATGATTTGAGAGATGGTCCATGGGAAAGGGCCCATGAATAAAAGTGCACTTCTTTCTCAA